TGATGCGATTGAATCTTTGTTTCTAAAACTGTTTTTAATCTATTTTTAAAAAGAATAGCGGTGAACTCTGTTTTGCGTGCAATACATCCCTATAAGCTCATAGGTTTTATGTGTTCTCAGATATTTTAAGAATGGGTTTATCTAATCTTGAAATATTGGGATGAGTGGTTTACTGAACTATAAGTGGGGCAAAAATATATATAAATATACCTTTTACATGAGTATTAAATAAATGGAACCTATTTCCTGAGGAATAGTATAACACAAACATGTAAATCCCTTAAAAAAGGCTTTGCCAAATTGTATAAATAGCAGCTAAGGAAAACTGTCCTTTGAATTTGTTGTCAAGGAGGCTATGCTCTCTTGGAGCTATTAATAACCTTCATTTGTTGAGCAAATACTATATGTAGGCACTGTGCTATGCAACTGTTTGAAATTACATATATACTTTCATCTAAGCTCTCTTGTCAATAGTGTTATGGAAATGGAAAGTTGTATAATCAGAGATTAAGGGTTACTTCTTTTAGCCTTCAAAAAAAGAAAGAAACACAGGCATACTTATCAATATAGCTATAAGGATGTTCTTTGCAATGTTGTTTTGAACAGCTGAAAATTGGAAATAATCCAAATATTCAACAATAGGGAATTTGTTGAATAAATGATTGTATTAGGCAGAATTCTCCAGAGAAACAGATTCGCTTACATGATTATGGAGTCTGAGAAGTCCCTTTATATATTGTCTGCAAACTGGAGAACCAGGAAACCTGGTGGATAATTTAGTCCAAGGCACAGAGTATGAGAACCAGGAGAACTGGTGGTGTATCTTCCAATCCCAAAGGCCCAGAAACCAGGAGCTGAGGCCAGGGAACCAGAGCTCTAACGACTGAGGTCAAGAGAAGATAGATGGCTTATCTTACGAAGAGAGAGAGAGAGACAAAGAAAGTAGGAAGAAATAGTAGATTTGAACAGACCAATCACCAGCAATGAACTTGAATCTGTAATCAAAAACCTCCAAAAAACAGAAGACCAAGACCAGAATTCACAGGTGAATTCTACCAACCATTTAAGAAAAGTTAATACCCATTCTTCTCAAACTACTCCAAAAAATCAAGGGGAAGGAAAACTTCCAAATTCAATGTACAGAAATCTTTTGCATTTCTCTATGCTAATAATGAAACAGCATAATAAAATGAAATTAAGAAAACAATCCCATTTATAATTACACCCAAAACAATAAAATATCTAAAATAAACTTAACCAAAGAGATGAAAGACCTGTATTCTGAAAATTATAAAACACTGATGAAATAAATTCAACAGAATGCAAAAAAAAAAAAAAAAAATGGGAAGACATTCCATGCTCATGGGTTGAAGAACAAATATTGTTAACATGTCTATACTACCCAAGGCAATCTACAGATTTTAGGAAATCCCTATCAAAATATCAACAGCATGTTTCATCCCTGGACCGCTTTCTTACACCATACACAAAAATAAATTCAAAATAGATTAAAGACCTAATGTGAGACCTGAAACCATAAGAATCCTAGAAGAGAGCACAGGCGGTAATGTCTCAGACATCAGCTATAGCAACATTTTTCTAGATATGTCTCTTGAGGCAAGGGAAATAAAAGCAAAAATAAACTGTTAGGACTACATCAAAATGAAGCACAGTGAAGGAAACACTCAACAAAACTAAAAGACAACCTATTGAGTAAGAGAAGACATTTACAAATGACATATCCGGTAAAGGACTATTATCCAAAATACATAAAGATCTGATGCAATTCAGTACCTGAAAACCAAATAATCCAATTTAAAAATGGGCAGAAGACATGAACAGACATTTCTTCAAGGAAGACATACAGATGCATGAAAGATATTCATGATCGCTTACCATCAGGGAAATGCAAATCAAAACCACAGATATCACCTCACACCTATCAGTGTGTATAAAACACAACAAACAACACAAGAAACACAAGAAACAACAAGGCAAGGATGGTGAGAATGGGAGAAAAAGGAACCCTCTTCCACTTTTGATGGGAATGCAAATTGGTGCAGTCATTGTGGAAACTTTATGGAGGTTCCTCAAAACATTAAAAATAGAACTACCCGGAGCGCCTGGGTGGCTCAGTGGGTTAAAGCCTCTGCCTTCGGCTCAGGTCATGATCCCAGGGTCCTGGGATCGAGCCCCGCATCGGGCTCTCTGCTCAGCGGGGAGCCTGCTTCCTCCTCTCTCTCTGCCTGTCTCTCTACCTACTTGTGATCTCTATCTGTCAAATGAATAAATAAAAAAATCTTTAAAAAAAAAATAGAACTACCCTACAATCCAGGAATTACGTTACTGAGTGTTTACTCAAAAAATATAAAACACTCATTCAAAGAGATACATGCATCCCTATGTTCATTGCAGCTTTATTTAAAATAGCCAAATTATAGAAGCAGCCACAGTGCCCATCAATAGATGAATGGATAAAGAAAAGGTGGTGTGTATGTGTATACACACACACACACACACACACACACATATATATATATAAAATATTCCATTGGCATATATATACAGATATATAGAGATATATATACACACACACACATATATATACACAATGGAATATTATTTAACCATAAAAAATGAAATCTTGTCATTTGCAACATGGCTGGAGCTAGAGAGTATAATGCTAAGCTAAATAAGCCAGTCAGAGAAAGACAAATACCATATGATCTCACTTATATGTGGAATTTAAGAAACAAAACAAACGAGCAAAGAAAAAAGAAAAAGAGAGATAAACCAAGAAAAAGACTCTCAAGTAGAGAGAACAAACTGATGGTTGAGAGGGGAGGTGGGTAGGGAGATTAAAGAGTGCACTTATTATGATGGAAAAAAAAAAAGATTAAGAAAGAGAGAGAGGGAAGAGAATTTGCTCTTCCTCTGCCTCTTTGTTCTTTTTGGGCCTGCAAAGGATTGCATGATGCCCCCTGCATGGGTGAGAGTGGATCCTCTTCATTCAGTCTATTGATTCAGCACTAATCTCTCTTGGAAACACCCTCAGAGACACACCCAGAAATAATGTTTTACCAGTTATCTCGGCATCCCTCAGCCTAGTCAAGATGACACATAAAATTAATCATCACAGTGATATAGAGTATAGTCATTAAAATGGCAATGAAGAAGAATAATGAAGATATGGGCAATGCTCCCCAGCAAATTCCTAACATGGAATATAGTGAGATTCCATTTTGAAAGTTTTATGTATGCATAGAAAATTGATTAGGAAAGGCATATTCTAGGGGCGCCTGGGTGGCTCAGTGGGTTAAAGCCTCTGTTCCGCTCAGGTCATGATCCCAGGGTCCTGGGATCGAGCCCTGCATCGGGCTCTCTGCTCAGCAGACAGTCTGCTTCCTCCTATCTCTCTCTGCCTGCTTCTCTGCCTACTTGTGATCTCTGTCAAATAAATAAATAAAATCTTTAAAAAAAAAAAAAAGGGAAAGGCATATTCTAAATGTTAGCAATTGACAAAAATTAATGTTAGCCATGGCTCTCTTGGGTAGTAAAATGAAGGTGGTTTCCCATTCTTATTTTTCCTTACCTTTACTTTAAAAATATCCTACATTAAACATGTATTACTTTGTAATTTGCAAAAAATAAAAACTCAACATAGCCTGAATAGGTTAATGTTTAAAAAAAATAGAGACCAACATTATACTATGTGATTTAACTGTTCCTTTCTCTTGTATTTCTTAGGTTCATTTTTGTGGACCCAATTGTTTTGGACAGAGATTTAGGTTTGACTAGGCAGCTAAGCCTTGTGGTTTGCCCTGTGCTATAAATTTTTTGACCCATACATTGCTCTGCTATGGGGATATCAAAGTACCTCATAAATGCTTTTACTTTATCCTCACAGGCAGATGCTTCAATAACAGGCGCCATTTTGGAAATTCTGTTCACAGTTTACGAACTTGAAGAATTACTGAATCCATTCCCTGTGCCATATCACTCCTAGAGTACAAGTGAAATACAAAAATAAATACAAAACAATTATGGTGAGGAGAATGACTAAATCGCATGAAAAATAAAATTATCACTATTTTATTTGAAACTTGGAGAAGCCTAATTTTGTTATAAAAGTGGGAAAATGTGTGCTTTTAACTATATAAAAATTATGTTGGAACTACGACATGATGGCTATTACAATCTCACTTTCTCTACTACTAATGTGTTAGGGGTAGAAAATTATAATGTAGATGTGGAAAGTGACTGCAAAATGTTACAGTTTACAGGGTTGGGGAGGCTGGGTAGGTTGCACCAAGACCAGAGACATAATTAACGGGCCCAGTGCAAAATGAAAGTGCAGAGCTCCTGTTCAAAATGTATTAAGAATCTCAAGATTGTCATAACCCAGCATTAATCCAAGTGCAGAGTCCTTCTAAGCTGGGGGTGGAGTGGGGAGCTTTGTGTGAATGCTCAGGTCGCACACTCATGAGGCCAGCCTACATGGCAAAGAGCTGAGAGACAGAATACCAGGATTCCCACTTGAGGTGACTCTTACATGGCTTTCCAGGTCCCTCTTATTGATATGAGCCATCACTCCCTCTGTACCTTGCCCTTCACAATTTTTTAATGTCCCCATATGGCTTTAAAAGGTGAATGATTTATATGATCTGAAGAGAAACCAGAGTATTCCACATATGGCTTTGATCATATAATGCCTCTTGTGTGCCTCACTCCCTGATACAGAATATTTCAGTCACCCAGCTTAGCTTCACTTACTAACTACAAGAAGATAAACATTTTTTCCTTAAAATGCAATTAAACTTAAAATCTTCTGTGCATCAAAAGACATTAACAACAGAGTAAAAAAGCACCTCACAGAATGGGAGAAAATATTTGCAAATCATCTATCTGATAAGGGGATAATATCCAGAATATGTAAAGAGCTCCCACAACACAACAACAAACCAAACAACCCAATTAATAAATGGACAAAAGAGCCGCCGGCGGTATCATGGCGACCTGGAACCCCCCTCCCCAAGAGTATGAAAGCGATGACAAGTCTTACGAAGTGTTGGATTTAACTGAGTATGCAAGAAGACACCATTGGTGGAATCGAGTGTTTGGCCACAGTTCCAGACCTATGGTTGAAAAATACTCGGTAGCCACTCAGATTGTAATGGGTGGAGTGACTGGCTGGTGTGCGGGATTTTTGTTCCAGAAAGTTGGAAAGCTTGCAGCAACTGCAGTAGGTGGTGGCTTTCTTCTTCTTCAGATTGCCAGTCACAGTGGCTATGTGCAGATTGACTGGAAGAGAGTTGAAAAAGATGTAAACAAAGCGAAAAGACAGATTAAGAAGCGAGCAAATAAGGCAGCACCTGAAATCAACAATATAATTGAAGAAGCAACAGAATTTATCAAACAGAACATTGTGATATCCAGTGGATTTGTGGGAGGCTTTTTGCTAGGCCTTGCATCTTAAGGATATGAATATTCTGTCACAGTGGAGTCACCTATAAGAAGAGAAATGGCGGCAACAAGGTGGCTTCTCGACATTACTCACCACCAGATTCTCCAGGGCAGCAAGAAACAACTAGGTGGGCAATACCAAACTCACAGCTTAGTGTTTTGCCATTGAAGTTTGGCAGACTAGCATTTGCTATAAAAACAACCTGTACGGTATATATATAATAGTATTCCTGAGCAAAAACATGCCTTTCATTTATTTTTTTAAAATTTGCATTTGTTTTAAAATCAGCCTATAAAATACCACCATTGGATGTAGAGGGAAAAAAATATAGAGGGAAAAAATATGTGTTGGATATATTCCCCAGCAAAATATTATCCTTGTTTTATTTAAATAAGATATTCTTCATCTTGCTTTATAGTATAGTGCCAGTAATTAAAGATTTGTATTGTAGCTTCAAAAAAAAAAATAAATAAATGGACAAAAGATTTGAGTAGCATTTCCCCAGAGAAGATATATACATGGTGAATAAGCACGTGAAAAGATGCTCAACATAACTAATCATTAGGGGAATGCAAATCAAAATCACAATGAAATACCACTTCATGTAGAGTGGCTATTAAAAAACAAAAACTAAAAAACAACCCAGAAAATAATAAGTGTCAATGAGGATGTGGAGAAATTGGAACCCTTGTGCATTGCTGGTAGGAATGAGAAATGGTACAACCACTCTGGAAAACAGTAAGGATGGTTCCTCAAAGAATTTAATGTAGAATTACCATATGAGCCATCAATTTCATATCTGGGTATATCCCCCAAAGAAATGAAAGCAGGAATTTGGATAAATATTTGTACACTGATGTTCATAGCAGCATTATTCACAACAGCCAATAGGTAAGAACTACCTAAATGTCCACTGACAGATGACTAGATAAACAAAATGGGCATATATATATATATATATATATATATATATACACACACATATATATGTATATATATTTGAATAAATATATACATAATGTATATATTCAAATAGTATTCATTCAAATATTATTCAGCCTTGAAAAGGAAAGAAATTCTGATAGATGCAACAAAATGAATGAACCTTAAAGACATTATGTCAAATAAATAATCCAGACACAAAAGGACAATCATTGTTTATTTCCACTTACAGAGATACATGGGATAATCAAATTCAGAAGGTAGAATAGTGGTTATCATGGCTGGGGTGGGGAATAATGGAAATTACTGCTAATTTTCAGTTTCAATTTGAGAGGATGAAAAAGTTCTGGAGATGGATAGTGGTGAGAGTTGCACAACCTGGTGAATGTACCTAATGTCACTGAATTGTACACTTAAAAATGGTTATAGTGGTAAATTTTATGTTATGTGTATTTTATCACCAAAAAAAAAAAAAAAAGAAAGAAAGAAAAGAAAAGAAATGTAATTGAACCAAATTGCATTGCAGTGGACATCTTTTACATTCTGTTCAGTCCCTTATAGCAATGGTAGAATGTGGTGGTTAAGTACTCTCATTCCAGACCAAGACAGCCAGCCAAAAGATTGAACCTCAGCCTCATCACTTGGGCATTGTATGAACTTGGAACAGTTATTTACTTCACTTTGCCTCACTCTCCCTCGCTGTGGAATCAGCATGGTGAAGAACACACCTATGGGCAGTTAGGAGAATGAGATAAGAAATGCAGGAGGCTTAGCAGGACTACAGCAAGCCTTCTGTGAGCCAAAGCTATTAGTGTGATTTCACATATTTTACATATGCTAAATAATCAGTACAATTTATGGAATTTCTCAATGAATTCTTTGCTTCCTGGGCTATCGCTTGGGATGGAATCTCTGTGCAATCATCCATTTTCATGGACGTATGGAGTCTTAATATCTTCAGTTTGCTTTAGCCTCACTCCCCCATCATCTGCCTAATGGACTCAGACCTGCAAAGGATGAGCGAGCTAGCCAGGTGAGGCTTGTCAGCCATCCTTGGCAGAGATCCACGTTGTGGATATAATTTAGCAACCGTTTTTATACTGCACATTTTTGCCTAGCACTTCAGTGCTGGTCCTCATAGGACTGTGTGTACATCGGGACTAATGATATTTGGGGTGAGCTTTGTGATGTGATTAAGCCAGAGACTACACGGGGTATTATTTAATTAGGACAGATGTGTCTCCATGCCCATTTAGGAGGCTGTTTTTTGTCTTGCTACACAATTCCACAGAACATATCTGAGGGCAGAGTTCCCTTTGAACTCTGCAAGCGGTCTGTCCTCAGATAAGCATCACAGCCCTTGGAACATGAGCAGAAAGTAGGCCCTTCTGAGATCATTAACTAGTGTGAGTTAAAAAAAAAAAAAAGCTATGTCATGATATAATAGCAAAATGTAAAACCTTATCTTGAATATGGAGAAGAATATGTTGATTTGATTTTTACTCATTAGGAATTTGGGCAAGTTAAAGCATTTTGAATTCTACCTGTGTCTTATCTATGAAGTATGGGGTTATAACATAAATGAATGAGATAAATAAGAGAGTTCAGGTAATGTTTAACCTACTTTTGAGAATCAACTGTTTTTTTAAAGGATTTAACTGGACCAGTTCCCAGGAATTACCCCCAGTTCTTTTTTATAGTCTAAATTTGTCTCATTCCTCTCTTCCACCTCCTATAATCCCCATTCCCCAATTTATTTTCTTCCATGTTATTTTATTATATGTCTTTGACCATTAGCCAGGAAAGCCTGTTCCTCTGTCTTCTAATGCCAGCCCATCATAAAACATTAACAGAATACTGAGTCAGTGTCAGAGCTGTGTTAAATGCTGGAGACACAGAGAGAAAAGGGGAATCGTGGAAGATGACTTCAGAGGTTGAAAGCATGGACATTGGTGTTAGATGGATATGGATTTGCATCCTGGCTCTGTCACTTGATGGTTGGGTCACTAGGCAAAGTTCTTAATCTGGGTGAGTCTCAGATATCTGATGCATAAAATGTAGAGAATTACAATATCTTCCCCAGAGAACTATTACAGAAAATCAAATGAAACAGGTGTTTACTAAGCAGGTATTTCTAGTTGCAAGGGTTAGAAACAGAACAAAAAATGTCATAAGGCAAAAAAGAGGCTATCATGACTCAGATAACAGAAAAGTCTAGAAGTGGATTTCAGGTATAGCTGGATCCAGGAAACCTCATATCATCAGAATTCAACTTTTTTTTCCCCATCTCTACGTTTTGCTTTCTTCTGTGTTGGCATCTTTCTTTAGAGGCCTTTCCAGTTTTACATTATTTTCCTTATAGTTAATCACCATGGAAGAAAGAGACCATCTCCCTCCCTATAGTTCCAGCAAAAGTGCAACCAATTCTCATTGGACCAACTTGGGCCAACCCTGACCAATGACTATAGTCAGGAAGTTGGAATACTTTGAGAAGCCTAGACTGAATCATATTTCCACTCACCTAAACCAAATGAACTATAAGCATGTGTATGTGTGTTTAGGTATGGGGAGTAGAAGGAGTTCTTCAAAGTAAAATCTGGATGGCGTTTCCAGAAGAAATAGGCAGCAAGTAGGTGTTTACCTGAGCAGGTTAATGTAGAGGCTGGCATACAGAAATCTTTATTATTATTATAATGATTACCTTGAAAATGATTAAAATGAAAATAAATTAAAATGAAAGTATGAAATCACGATTTGATTAAAATAATGAAAATGATTAAAACAAAAATAAAATGGGGAACAATCAGTTTCCCATCAGAGAAGGATGGAGAGGATAAGCAGGAAATTAGAAGGGAGAGGGTTATTGCCAAGGGCAGACTAGCAGCATTTAGAGAAGATGCTAAGTAAAAATGACTGAAAATATTCCAGAACTATTTGCTCTTTGACAGTTCCTGAGTATCATTGAATGATAGTACATGCCAATGATAAATGCCCACAAAAAGGATTTTAATGAAATACTTCTTTTATTATGTTGGAGGGATCCCTGACTATTTAGAAATATTTGTTTTCTAATTGAGTAGGCTGCTCTATAAATTAGCTGATCTCTCAGACAGCCAGATTTATGTTAGTCCTTTTGTGTTCCTTTGGTGTCCTCCCCAGCATTCTGCACATGGGTGGGCATGTGGTAAGGAGCTCAGTAAATACTTGTTGATTAATATAGGTGAAAAGAAGCAATTAATGCACATTTACAAATGAGTCTCATTCACCAGTTAAAACTGGTCTTAACATCAGGTCCAGCACTTTGTCAGCCCCCCCCTTTTTTTTTTCATTTTAGAGGCATGTACTAGAAAAACAACATTTGTTTTATTTTCAAATATTTTCTGGCTCATATTTTACTAATTTAGACTGGCCTTATCCTCATTAATCCAAATTAGTGCCATTTTAGAGTACACACACTCTTGAATACTTACTCTTCTGTTCTCATGCTATTTAGGCATAGTTTTCTTACTTTAGAGTTCCAAAAATTTGATTATTTCCAGCTCTTCCATTTTAAGCTCAGGTATATTTTAAATGGACCAAGATAAAGATTATCTTGATATAAACCCTTAAAGACAGACACCTCAATTTGAGACTTTATTCTTTTTATAGCGAAAAAAAATCCGTATCAAATTCTCATTATTTATAATCCCATTATGTCCCCAAGACTTTGAGTTATGTAATGTTTTGATTTTTTTGATTTTTTTTTCCTTTGCTTCCTATTAATTCAGAAAGATCAGTATCTTGGCTTCTGAAAAATGTGTTTCAAGATCTATTTCATTTAGGAAGATTGTATCATAAACACGAAGTATAAACAGCTTACCATTGAAAATGTTTTATTTTTGCAATGAACTTTTAATAAGTTCAACCCGTTGTTTTCCATCCATCATGCCTTAAGGAATGTGTTTTGCCTGATTTATGATGCACAAGTTTATTATTTTTCTAAGTTATAATCAATACCTACAAGGTGCTCTGGTTAATTAGGAAACATTTTATCATTAACTTTGCATTTAAGAATCCTTAACCCATATTTTTCTTGTGCATTTCCAGAGACTATGGCTAGTATTTTTGTGTTTTTACTCTTTTGGTGATAATTCTTTTCTTTTCTACCTGACCATTGGCCCTTGACTATCTCCTTGACTAGCGTTTCCTATCACTATCCTCTCTATGACTGTACTTAATAGGGCTGGGGTTCACCATAGAGATTAATCAAACACTTACCAGCTCAATTTGATCATCAGAGAAGTTATTCATATCAAACCAACTGAAGCAGTTGTAGAAAGAAAATACAAACATTTACGTATATTTAATACATAGTTGTACATGCATTTGAAACTTTTAACTAGCCAATCAGCTTGTCTAGGTAATCCACTTTATTAAAAAAATTAAGGAGTCAGTTTTCTTTAAATCATCCCTCACATTACTTATGACACATCCAGGATACTGGGCAAAAGCATAAACTTTTTTTTTTTT